TGTCACGATCATGATTCGTGGCAATAGTAATTCACACACACATCACTGGTAGCATCAGAAAGGCTTAGAGTAGAGAGTAATGCAAGAAACCTAGCTAGGTTTCGAGTTCCCGAGTAAATCCTCAAGTCACAATACAAGTGTATGCATGATATTTCAGGTTCTAGTTCACTGAAAAATGAGACATCATTCGACAGTATGTCGAGTTCTTTTATATCTAAAAATATCACACACAAACGCACGCACGAGAGCATGAGCCAAACGAACAAATTCACATGAAGAAATGTCCATCAATAAGGAACTTTCTGGAGAACGTTAGGACAGTGTTGGCTTTTGCTCAGTACTCGAGAGATCCTAACGACGGGAGTCCAGAAACTAGATTCTGGGCATCGGCATTGTGTATCCTCTCGACCGTGCCTCCACCCAAGGAATCTCCTTATTCTTTTCCCAGCTTAAACACGTCCTCGGGAGAAAGTATCTTGATATACCAGACATTATTCACAAATGCCCTGTACATTTTTAATTATCGAACACAGTCGAATCACAGAATATATATTCTCCAGAGCCACACAAATCGTGTGGACTATATTACTTAATTGAATATGCTTCATATGCAAGAATAAGATCAAATAACTTCTAATGGGTGCTACTTCATTTCGAAAATTTTCTTGTTTCGATATAGAACTGCTGGGAATAACTTTTTCTTAAAGTAGAATGAAATTTTTTGATAATGTAAATAGATATCGTGGCGAATATAACTCAAGTTGCTTTTATATGAAAATAGTAAAATAATAATTGGACGGGACACTTACTCCCACGGATCGTCTCCAAGGAGAAGCACGTCATTCTCCCTGTCAACAAATACAAGCTGCCAGCCTGATCTTTGAGGGTCTTCTTCAAGCAACCCTTGTATACCGAACATCTGTCCCAGTTCCTGCCTAAGCTCCCGATAGCTACTGAACCGAGCAATGTCCAATGACCTACCAACACATCCCGTTTTATACACCTACAGAAAAACATAACAGTCGCTCAGATTTCATAATTTCTTTTTCTTCAAAAAAAAAGGGCTAACAGTTAAAAAGTCTAAAACTTCGACTTATACCACCTTGACAAATGTACTGTCCCTCATCGGTTGATCAACGGGTCCCACATTCTGCAACACTTCCGGAGAATCCTGCGGCTCGTAACCATACATTGGGCTCTGATGATAATCGGACGACCCTAATAGCCGCATAGGGTACATTTCGGCATTCACAGACGAGGAGGGGCCCACACCACCAGACACAGTGGTGGGCAGCACGAGGGCAGAAGAGTCCATACCTGCGGCAAAAAGCGCCTGATTCTGCACGTCCAGGCCTGAGCCGCCACCGAATTTTTCGGCCCAAGTTTGCTGAGCTGGCTGCTCGTTGAAATTCGATAAGTTTGCCGAATTACGCATATCGGAAAATTTGCTGTCCGGATTCGGAAAGTCCGGTAGGCCCCGCTGGTGGTGGGCTGCTGCCAGGAAGGCTTCCCGGTTGTTGTCCGCTTGCTGCTGATGTGGCATGGGGAGGGCATGCGGAGAGTTCTGGCTGCCTGCCAGCTGGAGATAATGAATCGGCTGCTGAAGCTGATGTGGCTGGCCGCTGCCAGCATGGCATGGTACTGCTGGCTGAGGCTCGTGGGGTCAAATCTCTGCTGCTGCATCCAAGGGAAGATGCCGAAAGTCATGGAGTTGAAAGTTTGGTCAACGGCAGATTCAGACCTCAGCCACCCCATGCCATTGATGGCTTCATTTGCAGCATCTGATTATTGACCGAGCGGTAAGAATGTAATTACGATAATAGTACTTGCAGATAAATTTGGTATCAGCTAATTGCATAATGGAGGATATTACTATGATTTATCACATTTTTGCAGACAAAAGGCCACATAAAGCAGTAAGCTTTGTCAGAAAATGTAACTAGTAAAAAGTTGAAAAAATTCAATCATTTGTTTCGTTTTCACACGCTCAAGAAGTTGCGGTAAAGAGTAAAAAGAGTTATATCTATCACACCTTGATAAGATAATGCCCCGGGATACCATGGTCGTTTTAGCCTCAGAGGAAATAACGAGGGATACATGGGAAATGTTGTCAAAGGTTCGATTTCCCATAGAGATACCCTGGGCTGCCTCTCACCTGATGTTGACTCATCCCAACCAACCTGTGGATTCAAGAAAATGTTAAAACAAAACCCGAAAAATTTTTGGTAGGTTTCAAATAACTCAAAGAGTTTGGATATGTGCATTGAATATGCATATTGACAATGGGGATTACAGTTCAGCCTAGAAACAGACAAGAAAGGAAGTAGGTCTACAAAAATTAATGGTCTTTCAGCATTGAAGGAATATGAATACCTTAACAGAACGCCAGTGAGAATTTGGCCAACGAACAGGATCTAAGTCACCAATCCCGGTTATGGTACCCATGTACCTGAATGTGTAACATTTAATCCATGAACAAAGAATAATAAGGCCAAGAACAAGCAAAAAAATATGTCAGGCAAACAATATCTTGGCCAAAAATGTGCATTCACCAACCTCCCATTCTCTAATGAAAAATTCAGATTTTATACAACAACCGTATATACTATGATTAATGAGCAACGGTATGATTCCTTTTTAACTGTTGTCGAATACTATTCAGACGCCACATAAAACATTTACACGAGTGAAGGACAACGAAAGCAACATATAGAAAACATTTCTAACAGTGTTAGTTTTCATATCCGAAATTATGCACATATTCTTGCACATCCAAAAAACAAAAAGACATAAATATCGACTTATTGTGCTATTTTTTTTTCCCGATTGTAACTAAACTAAAATTAAGAAGTTTCATTTTTAACTACTCTAAGTATCGATTTACCTGCGAACACTGGATTCTTCGGTCTCAAATAGCATCCGAAATCGCATTCCAACTGAAACACGTGTGTGATGCACAGCTTTGGCATACTTTGAAAGAGGTATGACAAACTCAGATGGACTGGCCCTGGTGAGAAAATCGGGTAACAGAGAGAGAGAAAGAGAGAGAGAGAGAGAGAGAGAGAGAGGGAGAAAGAGAGAGAGAGAGAGAGAGAGAGAGAGAGAGAGAGAG